GGCTGAAAGCTTAACTCGTGTAAGACGTGCCTTGTTCACTAACAAACCTGAGTTAATGAGAGTGTTCTTTTACGTGTGTTTGTATGACTGGGCAGAGGAAGTGTAATGGCGATCGCAATCAGTGCCTCCATGCTCTGTTCATCATATTTTAGCCTACAGTCAGTCCACAAGAATGATGGGAATTTTTCGAACCTGACAGCTATATACACGCACACCGGGTACAGCTGTGTACCCAGAGTGAGATGTTTAGTTCTCGCCATTCATAATTGCTCTATTGAAGTGATTATTTGAAAGGTGAGTCACACCAGTTCACATCTGAAGTGTAAATCTAATGTATATTAAGATGTGATTTAAAGCTGGCGAGACTCTGGCCCGCAGGGGCTGAAGTTATACTGATGTTTGTTTATTTTTTGTTCATTTTATGAATAGAAATGTTCTCCATTGCCGACAGTAGGGTTAACAAAACTAGAGCTAAAGATACACGCAAAGCACAGGCGAGGTCCAGGCCAGACTGCTACCCGGGCCCCAAAGATGACCGCAAAAATGTCACATGGGGATAAACTAAAACAGGAATAAAGTTATCCATGGAGACAGAGTGACATGGTTCCGTTGGGAAAAATCCAGGAAAAGGAGATTTAACACATAATAAAACTGGAAAAAGGAAAATCTAATATTTAACTGTCATGGTTCACATAACCAATTTGGAAGATTAATAGAGTGGGAGGTAAAAGCTGATATATTATTGAAGAGCATTAATTATGCTGGAGAATTGAGGTTTTGATACTTGCTGGCTGTAAATGATGGATGCATACCTTTAACAGAATACTACACTATCTATCTACTGTAATGATGGTTATTCTACTGTTAAAATGTATTCTTTGTTCCATTTCAGAAAACTGTTTGTATTTTGGGTGAAGGAATTAAATGAGAAGTGGCCAGTGATCCTGCATAATTTTTAAGCATTTTGGTCACATGCCCAATTTCTCAGATATTACTCTACCTGTGGGCTTTATGGATATTACCTTTCAAAAACGGTAAGAAATTCAAGCTTTTTAACTGCTCAGGATGTCCCAGCTTTATTTCTGCATTCCTTTGTAATTGTTCATTAGGCCCCGTTATTTGTGAAGGATGTCCACTCGCTCTCCTCTTACATGTAAATTGATTATAATTTCGAAGTAACATGAAAACCAGCTGTGGCTATCGCACTGTGGTTTGACATTCTCTTCGTCAGGCCAATACCTGTGGTTGCCTCTAGAGGGCAGTCTGACTCTTTTCATAGTTAGGTGTGGGCATTCATAACCCCTTGTCTGTGGACAGTCTAAACACAGTTGATATGTGATGTATGAGTCTTTCTCTGAAATCAGAATAGGATGTTTGTGGCAAACCTCCTCAGCAAAAGTATCCTTTGTGAGACATGTCGGTGTTCATCATGCTAAAAAGGGGGCAGAAGGGGGTGGAGGGTTTTGAGGGGGGTGGGTTTCAGAAATTCAGATTACACTGACACTGTAAACAGGGCAATCAGTTAAGACTGCCTTTAACCACAGATGCCAGTCCAGTTAAAGGTGTATGGGTGTGTGTGTGTCTGTGTCTGTTGGGGGGCTGGTGGGGGGGGGGGGGTTCTGAAAGGACCTTTGTATTCTCAGGTGTTCCCTGAGCAGTAAATTGCTAGAATCTCGTTACTCTTTAGCTCAGACTTGAGGCCCTGTCATTCAGGGCTAATTAAGGTCATTGTGTTATTTTCCCCCTTTAAATAAAAAATGTAATAAGCTTTTCATAATACTACATCAGGGGTGGCACAGTGGTTAGTACTGTTGCCTCACACCTCTAGGACCGGGGTTGGAGTCTCCGGCATGGCTCCATGCGTGTGGAGTTTGCATGTTCTCATTGTGGGACTTCCAGTGTCCCCCCACAGCTCAAAAACATGCTGAGGTTATTTGGAGTTACTGAACTGCCCATAGGTGTGCCTGTGTGAGTGAATGGTGTGTGAGTGTGCCCTGAGATAGGTTGGTGCCCCATCCTGGGTTTTTTACTGGCTTGTGCCCGTAACCACCTGGGTCAGCTCATTTTGACTAGGGTTTAGACTTCTTTCGTTCTTGTGGGCGTTATTGAATGTGACCGCTAGATGGGGCAATTGCACGTTATATTTCATTCAGCTGTTGGACTTAAAAAAAAATGGAAAAACTTAAAACAATTTTTTTTTCTTTGGGTGTTCTAATGTTTGTGTGTAAAGCACTTAATTTTTTTTTTATCACATCACGTGTGTTATCTTCATATACACAGCTGACGGGAAATGCAACAGTCCGCAATTATTGAAATCTGTATTGTCAAAACTGCAAAAAGTGCTTTGTGTAATTTGTGTAAAAGTGTAATTCCATTTTCACGCGGATATATAAAATATGTGTGTCTGTGAGAACTCAGAAATTCAACAATTTGAAAATACTTTCTAAGTACTAGGCCCTAGGTACTTTTTATATTTGTACTTTGTTGTATGACTTAATGATGAATAACTATTGATGTTTTTCAATTATTTTTTTTTTTTTGCAAAATTTAAAAATAGCATATTTCTTATACGTTAATTAAAACATCTAAATACGTATTCATTTACTTTCAAAAATGGCACATTTGAAATACCTGATATGAACTTCATTAAAATTATTATTCCGGTTATTCATAAACAGGCAAGCTGTTTCTCTCTTTATCCATTTACTCGTTCGATTTCTTGTATACAAAAGCAGCCCATTACAGTACTACGTACAGAAAGAAAACGCTGTGAATGTTACTTCGCTGCGCAAAAGACAAATAACAGCTGCGCGTGGAAAGTACAGGGCATGCGTCAGAAATTACTGTAAGGCCAGAAGCACGGCGGCAGCCTTTATATAGAAAAATCTAGCATCTACTACATTAGCGAGATTCCTTTTACGGTTGAATCCTAAAATACACACTGGGGTCAATTTAAATTGCCCTCGTGTAGTGTAAGTGTGAGAATGATTTGTTGCACGTCTCTGAAGCAGAATTCCTTTTTTGAATACAGTGCAGAAAAGCGATTCCATGAATAGTTTCCACTGCTCTCTCGGAGATTTAAGAATTACTGACATTTAAAAAACGTGATTATTTGAGCGCAGCAGTACAAGGGTTTCGTTTGTTGCTCATGAGCACAATATTAGATCATTATTAGAACGTAGAATTATTAGAAGGTATTTTACAATAGTTTGTAGTAACTATATATATACAGGCACTGTGTAAAAATATATGTATACCACTTCATACGGTATCTACACAATTTCCGCTGAATTCTACGTTTTTAAATTACCATCTGGAGTAACTTCTCTGCTTGGATGTGCTGCGATTACTTGCGGTTATTCGATTTTACAAATGAATATCTAACGCGGATTTCTTTTGCTCTGCTGATAAAACAATTTTGTTGTAATTAAATAGCCCGTCTCTTCCCAAAATGTGGGCATCAAATAATTTTTAAATAAACTTCGTAGACTGCATAGTAATATTTAAGTTGTGTTAATCAAATGGTGTCCAGACGTATACTCTGTATTCCATAGACAAATTTGAAAAGGACAGTTTGATTCCTTTTAAAAAGCATGCTGCATTGGTTGCGCTGTAGGAGTATAGTATATTTTGCTTTAATGTTAATTTTTTTATATTACTCACAAAGCCTATTTTCTCTGCCATCAAAAGTAAGGGTGTGAAGTCCGTTATACTGTTACAATGTGCTCTGGCTTTCTTTTTCACATCACATTTAGCAGCTGGCTGTCCCATCCATCCATCCTCCATACCCGTTCGTCTTTGAGGATTAGAAGTCCTCTGTCCAGGTCTTTGCAAGATGCACTAGGTGGCGCTGTAAGACGGCGAAATGAATGAATATGGCCACTCCGCTTGAAGACGGCAAACGACTGAATATCATTCCCCCAAAACACGAAGCACATATGGCCGTGAAGGTCTCTTTCGTGTAATATAAATAAACCAGTGTGGTAGAATTTTAATATACAGAAAAAAAGTCAGTCTTTCTTTTAAAAATATAAAGAAAATCTCATGAATTGCTGTTTCGTTTACAGTATCGGTTGCAGCTCCGAGAATCAAATTTATTCAATGACAGCGATTTCTGGCTCGTAATGCAGTTACAGTTCTCCAGACTCGCGCTTTTACTCTTTCTTGACAGCATAAACATAGTATATATTTACGTGATCCATTCCAAGGAGGTTGTTTCCTCTAATATAATATAGCATTACACGCTTTTCAGTGGTCCAATGGCTTTAAAATTACATATTTATTTAGTATATTTCATTGGTTTTATGATGGAATTAGTAACATTTTCTGCATTTGCGGTTGCTAATATGTATAAAATGTTGAAGTTGGTTAGTTACAAGTGGACGAAAGATTTTACTTGGAAGTTTAGTCCTTTCTGAAAGTAGCTGATAAAAAGTTGAAGTGTTTATTCATATGTGTTGGCCTATTTGAAAAGAGAATCTGTAATTTGCTATATGCTATACACTTCTCCTTCATAAAACAATGTACATTTCATCTCCACCCACAATTGTAAAATGGAGGTAATTTTCATTATGTATTTTTAAATATGATATACATGTGATATATAAGCTAAATGAAACATTGTAAAATCTACGGTAAAATCTACAATTGAAATCAATTACGTTAGCCGTTTTAAGCAGGGAAAACCGACAAATCATACGTGTTCTGTCTGTTGATGAACTACCTACCAAAGTGGAGTTGTCTGCGAAATAGTTATTAATTGGCTAAAATGATGTTTAACAGTTTGGTTCATCATATATAAAATTATAACTGCTGATGTAATTGCTGCAAGGCCGGCAGTATCTTTTCTGTTTGAGAATGTCATTCCGCACAACCATTATTCCGCCATAATAATTATGTATACTTATATAGGTCTAATGTATTTTAGACATTTCTGTGCAGCGTAGTAAGAGACACAAGTGTTTTAAAACATCTCATCTTTATTGAACACTTTACAACAAGTTACTTAAGCAAATCCTAAAAGGAATACAATAAGTGCAAAACGAAAATGAATTATTATTTTTAAAAGAATTGTGTACGTGGATATTTACTTCTATACATTTGAATATAGATTATGTTTAATATAGTCGTATCACTTCAATTTATGACAGGAAACAATCATATTTTTTTAAACAAAAAGCTTCTTTAAAAGAAGCTTGCATTTGCATCTTTTAAACAAAATAGGAACAAGGCGAAGTGGTTTGTTGGCAGAAACATTTTGCATATTTTAATATGTTTTTTATATTATTGTATGCGTAAGCGTACTGCTTATTACACTACACTGTGCTGCAAATAATTGGGGGGTTCGCGCTGCTCTTTTTGAATACGTCGAGGCCTGCTGAAAAAACACACGACCACTTGTATTGTATGGTAATTGCTCGCGTTAGCCCTCACACTGCTCGGCGTGCGTCACTCACATCACGCACGGCTTGATGTCCTGACAGACGCTCTGGTGATGATGGTGATGGTGGTGATGGTGATAATAGGATCCGCTGGCCGAAGGGTGAAATGATGAGATTCCATTAAAGTTCAAAACGAAATCTTTCCTGTCACAAACAGGGCTTGAGTGGGCCTGATATCGCGGTATCCCCACTGTAATAGAAAATAAACACATTTAATTCCTGTGCTGGGCTAACATTCTGGAAAATGTTTGTTCTCTGTTCATAGTGTATCTTTTTTTCAAACGGTGACTGCATAGTTTCTCTAATTGGGATGTATTCTGTATTTAAAATACGTGTTTGTATAATTAATCACAAAAGACCCCCTTCGTCCCAAAGACAAATGGGTCACACAAAAGTCCTCCTATATATAATATGCTGCATGGTCAGCGTTTTTAGACCCGAGACTATAACTGTAAATTAAATGGATTACGTCATGTGTCGTGGCCATACAACATACACGCGTTTTCAACGAAACGACCATAGTTTTAATTATGCGTTTCCAGACATTTTTGTATAATCTTGTTATGGTGAAGGACCTATACTGAAGAAAGTGTCAGGAGTTAATAATATGTAGCTACACTAACATGCAATATATCTTAATAATACGTAATATAATTAAATATGCTCCAATAAATTACGTAATTATTTATATATTATTATGATATTTTCAGATTAACAAACAGGAGTATATTAGACCTATTCAACATGTTTAACATTTTAAAAGATTTTATAATGCAATTACGGCCGGATTAAATAATTGTAGTTGGTATATCTGAAAGCACGTGTACATCAACGTGAGATCTAAGAAATCCATACGGAAATGTTTTCATGCTGGCATTAATTATGAAACGGTTTTCTCTAGATTGTACTAAGGACATCTGCGCGATTGAGCACATACACCTTGAATGGTTAAAAATCCCACATAAACTTTAACAAGGCCGACGTCTCCCTTGGGTCCGCGCAGCGTGCAATCCTCTTCAGTGTGGTCCCGCACCGGGCGCCTTTGTTTTGCTAACCTTTTCTGACCCGAGTTTTAGTAGGAACTTTAGGCCGGAACATCTCCGGTATCCTTTGTACCGTTTAAATCAAATAGATTTACAGGACGCGTGAGACATTTATGGAAATGACTGTCCTACGGTAATACATTCCATATCATTGACTGTTTTGTACGTTTAAAAAAAAAAAAAAATTTTAGTCGTGCAAAATATAGGCCTACGACACCTACGTCTATACATATAATAACAAGAACATCAACACAAAGATGATAACGCCATAGTAATTTATTGCGTGTACTTATATCGACTTACTATTTTACAATAGCTATATATTTCAATGTGTGTATATGTGCAAATAAAATGTGTTATATCTCCCAATTTTCACAATTCATTTGCTACCAAAGCAGATAATATTCAACTTGGAGGCCGCTGTTTAAAAACGTGCACACGCAATCGGCGAATAATACTTGTTAGTAGAAATAAATAGAATAGTTTAATGCAATACAAAATTTAACCAACAATAGGCCTACATCACCCAAAACAAGACAAATTTCGCTTAAGTATTAGTATTAGTATTTGCTGCGATACAAAATTAATTATGCGTAGAAATTCGCTCTAGATTGATTAAATATTATATATATATATGTTGTGTGTGTGTTCAGTTTTTTATTTTACCATTGTTATTCTAAAAAATGTAGGGTGGATATTAATGACAGATTTTTGCGCATCCTTTCGGTGTATCATACGATTTGGCACCAAAACTGACTTTAAGTACGTGGCAATTCCTTATGCAAAGTGCATAATGAAAGCAGCGACATGCCCCAGTGATATAGACTTCTTGCTTGACTGTCTAAATGCCTACGTAGACAAGGGTTCCAAAGGCTTAATACAACACGCTTACTGGGGCAATAAAATCGCCTCACCTGAAATGTCAGCCGCGTCCCTGGTGTTCTGGTGGAGGTAGCTCTGCTCCAGCGAGTAAGACGACATGCTGGAATGTAAGCCGGAGGATGCTGGGCTGCTGGAAGCTAGAGACTGCTGTTTGATGTACGGAGAGCCGCTTGCCGATGCCCAATGCGCCGACGCACTTGTATATGGAGAGTGGCACTCCAGGGCACTTGCCATTGCTGGGGAGGAAGGCACCGGGCTGCTGCTGCTATCTGGCCCGTAGTCCCCGTTGGATGTCACTGGGCAACTGGCCATGTATGTTGATCCAGGGCTAGGGGACATATGGGGAACGTGGTGTCCACCGCTAAGCCCATCGTAGCCCCCTGCCATGGAATTCGTCATCATGTCTAAGTTATAACTGTTAGTGTGGCATCCGAGTGACGCCGTGGGTGCTTGGAAGTCAAAGCTTTGAGGTAATATGGAGGTACCAAACCCAATTCCATTCATCATCCGGTACATGGGTTTTAAAGCTTGACACTTTCTCCGGAATCCCCGGGGTCGGCGGCGAAACGATCCTTCCTCAAACATAAACTCACTGGCGGGGTCAATTGTCCAATAGTGCCCTTTACCCGGTCTCCCTAGACCCTTTGGTAATTTGATGAAACATTCATTTAGTGACAAATTGTGTCTGACGGAGTTCTTCCACCCCTGGTAAGATCCTCTGAAGAACGGGAACCTGGCCTGGAGGAACTGATAAATTTCGCTCAGCGTTAACCGTTTGGTCGGGGAGCTTTGGATCGCCATGACAATGAGGGCGATATATGAATAGGGTGGTTTTTCTGGACGTCTCAGCCCAGAGTTCGCCTTTTTTCCTTTGGACGAGGCTCCTGCCGCACTCTCTACGACGGACTGCGTGTTCATCAAAGCCGTATGCATAACTCCAGATGCCGGACTCGATCTTAAAGCTGGCGGCGGATCCAGTTGCTGCTGCGCAGTTTCAGTCGTCATATTCTGTTTACTAACGCAAAACCCCGAAGAACAAAGCAAAACAATTGTATCAATTTATAATTATCTATTGTAAAATTTTGACCGTTCTAGATAGAAGGAACAGACTCCTTGTTGAACTCCACTTGACCGCTAAATGTGTTTCACCGCGATGCACTGCGTGGAAAAAAACAAACTCTCCGGTTCAGATGGTCTCTCCAGTGCGTTGTAAACGAAGTGAAGTGTGTAGAGGTCTGTTCAGAAAGAGAGAGCGCGCGCGCGGAAGGAGAGAGGGGGAGAGAGGTTAGTCTCCAAATGTAATTCCGTATTACGAAGATACGCCGCGATTCTCTGTGTGGTTGACGCGGCTTCGTCCGAGATGGCGCTTCTCTGTCGCAGGGACTGCTGTTCTGCCCCCCACCTGGTGGCCATCACTCGCCTTAATCCTTTAAGAGGAGGAAACACAGAGCGCCTTGACTTTTGCGTACCCCGCTCAGCCAAACAAAACGCGACCACCTATCAATTCGTAAATCTGCCCCCCCTCCCATACCTCCTCCAGACCTCCTAAATCCCTTCAAGAAATCAGTGGCGACCAGGGTCCACCTCCCTCCTGTTTCTGGCCCCTGTCCAGTCACCATCCAAGCAGGAGGCGCTACAGCGGCACCAGAAACCCTCTTCCCGTCTGACATTTGTAATACACGCAATTACACCATTTATCAAACCTCCTTCAGACATTCCAGTCAACATCGCCATACGCCAAAAGTGCAAGGTAAAGTTTTCGAATTATTATACTTGCATGCTGCTTGTAAGTCAGAGTGATATTCCACAGACTAATGTCATGGTATTGATTGATGGGACTGAGATTAAGTTTACGCTTGTAAGAAAACGGTCTTTTTAATATCTTATTTTTCCTTTTTTAAATTGCAACATGAGCGCTTTACTGCTATTACAGGGATTCACCAAGTTCGCAATGTTAAATGTATACTTATTGAACGTGTATGCGTTACTGAACAAAGAAGTTCCACTTCTACAGAAAACCGGAGCAGTCAACAATGAAAATGGAAAGCAAATTTTAAAAATCAAGAGCGTGCGAGTACGTATGTAACCTACGCTCATAGAAAACAAACAGTTTTCGGCGCTGAAATTGTGAAAAGGTGGTCTTTCCTGAGTGTATACATGTGTGTAGGGGGTTGTTCTGGGTAAATGGCTTTGACATGAGTGGAAGCAGGCTTTTTCCATCAAGTACTGCCCGGATACCACACACAGAGCCAAGTGTCAGCTTACTGCTCGAGCCTGGATCCTATCCCTTGAGCTCCACATTAATTAGAGAGAGAAAAACGAAATTAAGCGAACGGGCGTCGACAGCTTCCTTCCTAATACAGACACTGCATAAAATATTTCTCGCAATTTCTTTCTTATTACTGCAAAACAGCATTATTATTATTATATTAATATATTCTTATTCTTTGAAATTAATCATGTTTTTGTTATATGCTTACCTCATGTGTATTCAAAATCGACTGCAAACTATAATATGCTGTAATTTACAAGTGTATTTTATAATGTACAATGTATATCATAGTAATGTACTGACTATATTAAGTTACATGAACTTCTTTACTCATGTTTGTTATTGCCTTCACTTTGAAATAGGCCTACTTTATCTGTTCTATAATGATCATCAAATTTAATAAGGCATATTCTCGCGCGACGTGATTACGGAGTTTTTTTTTTTTTTTTTTAAAAAAGACGCATGAAAACAGCAGTACAACTTCACGCAGTTGTCTACACTAGTATTTATACATGCTTATACATTACAGATTTTTAAACATAACGCATCTACCCCTGTCATATATTTTCGAGATTAAATTTGTATAGTGCAATATTCATTTGTGCTGCTGTACTTCTATCTGAATGTTGAAGTGGTGTAGAATATGTAATATTTAAAATGTCTGCATGATTAAAAATAATGTCAAAATTTTGTTGAAGGCCCAGGCTATTCTCGCTACCGCGACGTCCATAATTTCAGCTACATATACAATGATGTCATTTTTCAAGCACCGGCATAACGGGCCTTTTCAAGTCCCAGACAATTCCATTATTTTCGATTCTTTCAAGAGGTTTATTTTATAACGAAACCCACCGTGGATCCTATAAAATACATAATCTAAATTTATATTAGTACTGATTATGTACTAATGTATAGGGCAGTATAAGAGATTCCACAGTCGTGGCTACAGTGATTAACGTGTAGTTTGCTCTTTTCTGTATAATTTGCTTGCCCTTCACTGTTCTTATTTTACTAGTGGAGATGTAATAGTAGCAACAATAAAAATCACTTAAAAGCATTTGCGCGCATGCAGGGCTTTGCTTTCCAGTGATCAGTTCCAATTAGGGAACCTTATAACCACACGCATGTCGAGTTTTGAATTGTTTTACGTTACATTGTTATTATTGTAAAAATGGCAAACATGCAGGCTTATAGTATACGTGAAATGAGTGGCTAAGATTTTGTCGAAAAGGTAACTTGTAATTCTTCAGAATGAGTGTGTTATAGATTATCGTGAATGAGCATACAACTAAATTTTTGTTCTAAACCTGCATTTAAACATTAAGATAGCGGGAATAAAACTCATATTGCAAGCGTATATAGACTGAACCAGGACTGTGACACTGTGGTTCCAATACGAAACAGGGCACTTTATTTGGCCTTGCCGTGATGGGCAGGAATGTAAAGGGGAAATAAAAAGCAGAAACATTTATTCCCAATAACCGTATTCTGTGCTGCTTTTGTTATATTCTGTGGAACTCATATCCATTGATCACTGGTTTTCTAAGATGAACAATTACTTGTAATGTTTTGCTTTGCACTACTTTGTAGGCGAACGTTTCTGCTGAATTAAATTCAAGTTGGACATTATTTTGAAAGTGAAGTATAAGACTTTTGTTTTTTTATTACTATTCATTTTATTTGCGTGAGACAGAAATGTTAAAGGGTCCGTGACTTTCTCATCACGATGGCGCTCCTTTTGAGTGAAAATAACATCTTTACAACAATGCTTATCAAAAGTAACCTTTGCACTTCACCAAAGGATGTACAGATAAAAATCATATTTCCAACATAACAGAAAGACGCAAAGGGGCCGAATTGCAGCAGAATTTCCTGCAACATCAAGGCGCAGAACCCCCGTCGTGTTCAGGATGCGTCGTAGGCTGAAAGGAAACCTTGCAGCGCACCCAAAATACTTTGAAGACGCTAAACATATAGCTTGAAAATACAATGCATTCTGAACCTCGGAACGACGTTTTGAACCAGACATACATCTTCATTTACACCTGCCGATTAGTGCTAAATCAGGGGTTTTGGTTTGTTTTAGTCTTAATTATCACATCAATAATAACAGACAACCAAATTACTTAAACGATGTGATTTTTTTAGTTTTAGGCAGAATGGAACGAGTGTCAGTGGAGCCTGATAAACTGATATTTTAATGTATTAGGCAAACGAAATTGCAGTTTGTTTCCAAAATCCCTATGCGAATCTCGAAGATCCTAAAGCTTAAACCAAACGCAATTATTATTATTATTATTATTATTGTTATTATTTTATTATTATTATTATTATTATTGGTGTTGTTTGCTTGTTTGTTATTTGTTTTTTTATTGGTGATGATGGAAAGTAATGTAAATTTTTTACAAACATACAGGTTCGAGTGTAGTGTAAATGAGTAAACAAATTGTTTCATTGTGTGGAGACAATGCAGAGTGTTATCTGTCTATTGGTAATACATTTTACTCATTATCAACAAATATTTAAAGTGTGAAGGAGAAAGCCGATTACATTAACAATGTGTGAATGTTTTGTCGCTTTCCTGTTCTTTATAATACATTTTTAAATAGCAAATAAAACAATAGCGTAAAATAAAATATCTTCAGTCCAGGAAAGCTTATGATTGCTTGCCTCTCGCAAATGTATGCACACCATAATTAATTTAAAATACAATAAATGGACATTGAAACATACCTCGGTAATGTAAATTGATATTTGTTGGAGTTCTCAACACCTTATACGTAGCTGCACAGTAAAGATACAAGCGAATTCTGTGTTTTCCTTCTTTTCTTTATTTCTCAGCCAAATTATCTTGTTTTATGGGTCACTGTAACGAAACACCCCCTCCCCCTTTGTTCGTTTCAGGTCTGATCTTCGTGTCTAAAGTATAATTGCCTGGGACTGATTGGAGAAACCATTGTAATATACCGCACTTGAACGGTCAGTAGCAAGTAGGAAGGGTATAAGCGACATTATTCTCGCCGTCATGTTTCATGCGATAACCATTCTGCAAAAACATTAAAAACGACATTTCCGCGTGAACAAGTTCATGGATATGCTTCAGTATGATTTGGTTATACTGCCGAAAAATAACTACTGATTAAGAGGTTGTCTATATAAAATTAATTTATACATAATACTGTGTATATATATATACACACACACACACACACACACACACAACATCAAACTGAAAACTTCAGGTCCCATCAACACCTCGGGTGGATTGAAACTCCCCTCGCTTTTCTGTGTGCACAGGTGTGCCATTCTGGCTTTTCACCTGCAGGTTGCAGCATTGTGCTTGGAACCAGGTTACTTACGTTATAGTTACTAGGTTACGTAAGTGTTTTCTCTCACCTGTCACCTACGACATGGAAAGGAGCGGAGACCGTGAAGTCCTAATTTACAAGAGGCTTTTGGTCAGTTGTGCAAGCGGCATATATCATCCACCAATAATACAATAATAATAGTATATATTACCAACTACCTTTAAAAGTTCGAGTTGCTTTTGCCTTTAAGGAAACGATTGAATTACATATGAATCTGTATCCATTTCAATTACCCCATTAAATGTTTAAATTGATTATTTTGTTAATATCTCATATTAATTTAATTAATTCCGTGATCTGAGTATAATTTTAGCCCCCCACGTCGAGCAATGAAATATGATTCAGCTAAATTGCGGAGTACTAATTATTCAGTTGTGAGCTGACTAACTGCAAGACATTATCGTACGATATAATTGAAAGCAACTTCGTTTTGTAATAAGATAGCACTTTTTCATTTTAGACACATACACTCACAAACATAGATAATATGACTACTCTACCGTTTATGACATTATAAAAATAAAAGTACTGGTTATTAATTTGGGACTGTGTCATAAATTGTAACTTAAGATGTTTGTCCTACTGTCATTATTTAACTGCCTAGTTAGACTGGTTTAACCTTTTTTCAGGTTGAAATATTTTTGGCTTTGACTTATTAACTATACACGCCTGGGCTCCTTTTCTTTATTTCCGGGAATTCATCTATACAGTGCAGCCTGTCGATAGTGGGTTTGCTGACATCTCAGAATGTAATCTGCCTTTTACTTCATCACCACCAAACAATTAAAAGATGCCCGAAACGCTTCCTTTTGTCACTGCTCTTATTATAAACGGGTTTTTAGTATTGCGAAGGAACTACATTGTTACCGGCTAACTGTTATAATTGTTATTATTGTC